TCAGGGGTCTCCACGCCTTTCTCTTCCCGACGCGTTGGGGACGGAGGTGGGGATGTCTGGGTGTGTAGGGTTCTCTTTGAGAGCGACGGCACTCCCACTAAGGCCTCTATTTTGGGGGCCTCACACTGTAAAAGTACTAGGTCACATAACAGTCATAAGAGACCTGAAGCAAACTTCAGCAAAAGTAGACAACAGGTATGTAAGTGGTTCATTTCTTGCCCTTTGCCACATCCTTCACATTCAGGGAGAAAAAGATTTGAACATTTTGAAAGAAACTGTTATGCTACCAAAGATCTGTTGAAAAGATGAAGAGTATAAACCACCAAAGGAATGTGCACATATTACAGTCAAGACCACAAATTTTATTGGGTGATTTATTGTATAGATAATAAATAAACATTTCTCAAACAACAGCCTTCCCCCACATCACAATGAATTGGAAACCATAAAATAATTTTAAAAAGAGTTTGTTGTATGGCGGGGGGGGGGCAGGGCTGGTCGGTTGTTTTTTTTAAAAAACTAAAACTCAAAAAATTCTCACATGAACCTATGTAGTTTTTCAGATATATATCTGCTTTCTGACTCTTTCTATGTCTGTGTCAAGACAATAACAGCAGTCACAACTGCTTCTTACCAAGTTATCAATACTACAGAAAATTCCCAAGTGGGATTATCAATACCCAGCAGTAAAAATGATTGGAAACCGAAGGCCGGTTATCAGATTTTTATGGAGGGCAGGTGTCCTAGGTCTGCAACTGTTGCGCGCACAAAAAAAAGGCCACTAAGTTCCAAGTAGAGATTTTCACACCAGTGCAGCAAGAAACGGCAACGCCTGCAAATATTCTTCTATTAGAAGTATTGTACCAAAAGGGGACGGGAGCAGCTTGTGCCATTCCCCATCTGGCACTCTAGAGACGATCGAGAGAGAACGGCAACTTGCAATCTCTCGCCGTGGGAACAACAGGTGGCTCCCAAAGGCAAAACTTTCACCGGACGCCGCAAAGCTGCCTAACTTATAAATAACTGAGAGACCGAGGAAGCAACCGCGCGTTAAGGAGACTCTCACACTGTCCACGATTCGTGTTGGTCAGCACGACTTTTATGTTCCACACGCCTGAGCCCTCTGCACAACTGCCCCTCCCGCCTGAACCTCAATCCTGAGGGGCTGCCTTCAGACAGTGATGGATTGAACGGATCGCTGTGGGGATCCAGCCCTCAAACCTTGCGATCGAGGAGCCACGGGTTTAGAGACCCGCGTGTTTAGCCTAGCCGTAACCCTTCGCACCAGAAACTAAGCCGATTCGGACGAAATAGGGGGTTCCTTATAGGCCGGACCTCTCGCCGCGGCCCCGTTCTGGGCTCCTCTTCCTTCTCAGGGTAGCGTCAGCCCCCCCCTCCCCGCTCGTCGCCGCCGCCTCCCTTCGCGCTCCCTCGCACCGCGCCCTTTCCCAGCGTCTCCCCGCCGGGTCATCCTCGCCCCGCTCGCCTCTGCTCTCGGGCCCCGCCCAGAAACTCCGGAGCCCCTCCACCCCACCCTGCCGGGAGGGCGCCTTCCTGCCAGCCTCGGCTTCTCGCCTTCCTCGCCTCCCCTCTGGAGGGCAGCTCAGCCCAGC